AGTGTACTAACGTTGCATTTTTGAGGAAGGAAAGTTTGAAATTTTTTTGTAGTAAATGAATAACTCTAATCATGGTTTTGTTCTAATTTTTCACTCATCTCACAGGAAAAAAATTTCGATCGTAATCAGCATAGAAGATGATATGTAGCCAGAATATTTCAAATTACGAGTCTGTTCAATTAATATTCCTATATAGAACTGATGTTTTAAATTATTCAAATGAGGATAGCAGCTTTGGCAGATGAATATGTTAAACTAAGACTTTATTCACTATTTTAATCATTCTCAAGTGATACTTTTTGATATGTCAATCAAAACCAAGAATGTATGGGAAATGAATAATTATGACCAAAGTTTGATTCGGTCATTTTGTATTTCAAAAACAAAACTTTCGTAAGGAAACATAGTGAAAGATGGTAACGTATATGAATGTTTCTTACAATAATTTGATTTGACTCTTTTGTCCATTACTAACCAGTAGTTTTGAAATCACAAATGAATGTCTGATTGTATGAAAATTGAATAATTTTAACGAGAGTTCTTTTCATTTATTTTGTTTCACATGAAAGATATCATCAAATTTTTTATACAATCAAAATAATGACAGAAAGATGAATAATATCAGGATGGTTAGGTGCAATTACTTTGTTTCTTTCGAAATACAGTACGAAACTTACCAAAGAAAGGTCTAGTTTTATGAAAAGCGAACCATCACAACAAGTATCTTGTTTGTTTACTTTGTACGTTTGAAAGTAGCTCACCTAGTCGAGATAATAATATAAAATCATATAACAAATAAATAGTTCCAAGTTGGCTTCTCCTTCGTTGTGTCCATCTTTGACCAATCTAAAGGAACATTTAAAAAAACAACTTAGAAATATTAAGTGAAAATATCTCTTCATAGAAATGTGGTGCGATTTATAATATAGTGGCACAAAAGTAAAGTAAACGCACATTACTGAAGAAACCGAATGTTCTTAGTGGATATAATTCATATCTAAACACTCAAGAAATATTGTTACTAGTCCTAAGGATGAGTGTGTATGAATAATAGACTCGTACTTACATCTGTACTCCGTTCTATATATCTTAAAAGCTTTTATCACCGCCTTCTATAGTGTACAAAAATACGGCAGGCGACTCCTCTTGTGTTAGCTGATGCTTTCATGGGTAACAGCAATACTATTTTGCTTCATTGATAGATCGATTTAACCAATCGAACCACGACATAACAGATTTCAAAGCTTGTTCGGAAGGGACGATGGAATGGTGCCAGTAGACACCAATGGGCGGAAGCTTTTTGTTACTGATCTCAATGTCTAAAAACCGGCTTATCTTCGCAGTAATACTCTATTCTAATAAGATGCTTCTCAAAGTATTGCATCAACTAATCTAGACGAACTTACGTAGCTGTTAGTTGTTGTGTGGCAATCGACGTTGCAAAAAGTATAAGTGTTTCTATGATAACACTTTTTGCTTATTATCTTGTGATATGAAAAACAAACCAAAGAGTGTTTTTTCTTTTTCTTCTAGTAGAACATTCGAGTCACAGAAAGAAAAAGATAAATCAAAACATGCATGTCTATACTGAAGTCTAATAAGTACTGTTGACTACTCTCTATCAAAGGATAGAGGCATCTAAGAGCCGAAGTGTGGGATGTGGGTGTGAGTGGACATAAATCAACAAAAAAACAGATCGACCTATATGCCTATTATACAAATCAATCTGCTGCTCTCGACTCTTGCTTTTCATCAATCAATTTCCTGTCGAAAATTACATAACAACAAAATATTAAGTGAATATTCTTGAATTAAAATTAATGAAAAAATGCAGAGTTAATTTCGCCGACGCGTTTCGTGTTATTCATTAAAATATTAAAACACTCATCAGGGCTTTGCATTATAATAAGAAGTATAAGCTGGGAATTTAAATATAAAAAGAGTGTGACTGTGTGGGTGTCAGGTGTGACTATGGGTATGGTTTTGTAAGAAAAAATAAGACCTACATTGACGCACCAACACCCACATATCCACATCCTCTTTATTTAGTAAATGTATAGAAAGAAGAAAATGACAAAAAAAAATCGAGTGCCAGATGCAATACGGTTCAGATAGTGATGATTTCTGATTTGAAAGGTGAGTTGAACTGTATGTAGAACTATGAATCGAAGAGTAACAGTAATTCTTCCATAGAAACCTAAAATTCGATAGATAATATGGAGAAGATTGTTCATAGGATACTGCGTAAGTTACACTGATTTGCCACTCGTCAATAAACAGTTGATCGAGAAGAGTTTGTATTGAAGTGTTTGTCGAAAAGCGACTTGGTAATGATGAATTCATTACATTCGTAAGGAGTGTAATCGACCTTGGATTACTTATATTTCCATAGTATTTAATCATTTGTGAGATGATAAATGATTCGTCAAAAAATTGATTGATTGAGATGTTAACTGTTGCTGGTAATATTGTATATAATGATATTAGAATATTAAAATATGCGGCTTCGTGCATACCCAAATCTGTTCTCCTGTAATAATTGATCGATGAAAGAGAAAATATATAAAAGAATTCAGTTAGATTAAACACATCGTTTGAACATATTTGATGAAGCGTGATATTCACTTCAAGAAATTTTTTATTACGAATAGAAATTTATGAAATAAGAATATTGAGGTTGATCAATATATTGATTCGACCAAATCAATATATTGTGTTTGATCGACCTAAACGTACACTTTACAATGTCTCATAGTTGAATCAAACATATGTACAGTATTGTATGAGTACTAGGATGATATTCAATTATGGTATATCTTATATTAAAAAAGAGTTCCTAAATTAAAGGCCCTTCCTAGTGATCATCAGAATTGACTGAGATTATTTGAGTAACCACAAATGTCAATATTATTTAGATATTAATTTAATGAACTACAATTAATGACCAATGGTAGGCATTCAGTCTGGACATATATCATGCAGATTCGAAGATATCCGAGAAAGAAAAATTATGATTACATACAAAAAAAAAATGAATACCGAGCATATATCTCAGTGATGATTCTCTGATCGTCAGTCAATATTGAATAAAAAACAGTAAGAAAAGAGTACTTGGAAATTCACAATTAAGTGTCCGAGTCTTATTACATTTTAAATTATACTTTCACTGAGTTTTAAACCAATTAGAATTGTACTTGACTGTGAAATTTTTATTCGTCTACTTGAGAGCTCATCTTTTCCTAATTGAATAGGAGAGAATAGATGAAACAATAAAATAAATAAGGTTCATCTGATGAGCGGCCTTGTTTCTAATGTAGAAGTTGAATTCTCGCCATTGACTAGAGTAATATTATATTTGCAGGACGAATAGTGAAGTAGGTGTCGTCTAGAAAGAGCAATACGTATGTTTCATACATATATCCTTGATGACCTTTAGCTAATACTGATAGAAGTCATTGAGTCTAAATTATTCATGCAAGTACGTTTTTTTTTGATTAATGAAAATGATGTATCCGAATGGGTAGCTAAAACAAAAATAACCTTTATGTAGAAAAAGATGGTGATAGATTGTATATTCTGCTTGACTAAGCAGATAGCTGTGAACTAGCACCTTATACATCTGAGAAGTATACTTCTTTTTGATTCGATCGTACTATCGACTAATTTCTAGCTGCTGGGATTGGAATCTGTATAGAAAAATATGAAGGTCTCACAACAAGTAATTATAAATCTACCATCTGCATTTTAGCTTGTGAACGTCGTGAAACATACATGACTTCTAGAACGATATGGACTATGTTCTCGCTTTTTCTCTTGTATACTTTCGAGTTTTGGCAACATCAATCGGATAAAAATCATTACGACGTAACACAATATTTATTCAATGAATTTCTGATCGGATGTGAATATAAAGAAGGTTCATACCTACACCTACAATGACATCTATACTCTCATATGAGTCGCATTTACCTCGTGTTCGACCACGTGCATATGATGGCTACGTCTAAATTTCTAAAGAAAAAAATAATCTAACTCGATCGATCTATAAACAGAGAAAAGGAAATGAAAGAGCCTCTCACTATTATCAGAGAACCGAGAATACACATAACATGTCAAATTTGAAATTCAACTTTAGCTATATCCATTCGATAATCCATATTGAGAAATGTATTCATCCAAAATTGTAGACCAAACAAATGCTTTCTTGTCGAGATGCGAGATTGTTCTAAAATGAACTTTTGATAAATTTTCTCAGAAATCGAGCATCTTGTATTTTATTTGTTTCTCGGCCATTTACAATGGATTTTTCTGATCAACATCTCATTCGAAAGAGAAAAAAAAATCTGAACAACATGGAAGATTTATTCCGTCTAAACAATAAGATTAATAATATTTAGGATTTAAAAACTCTTAGTAACAATCCAATAATATTTGATTTTAAAATGTCAAAAGAATCGATGGAATAGAGTGAAAGACATTACAATTTATTTAATAGATCAAGTATGGAATTATATAAAAGAAATATATCGGCAAGATGTGATGTCTCTTCATCTTCGAAAAGACAAAGTGATATTGTTCGATCAACAATAGATGTAAAAAATATTGTTGATTAAGCAATATCAAAGTCACCTTTGTAATCGGATCGAATATGGGAAATTAAGTTGTTTTTTGTAGTAAAAATAGCATACGAAATAATTGCAACGGATATAAATTGATATTAATTGTATTTTCCATTTTTGCACGCGAGGTTTAAATATTAGGCAATTGACGATCTGTTTGATTATCTTGTTTATCTTACGTTGTCTGCTCTTCTTAAAGAATGTTATTTATAGTTCATCAATGCCTAATCGTTTATTTGTCATAAATCATCAAGTCAATAATAGCAAGAGCTGGAATAAAAAAATAATTGGTATAGTTATAAGTTTAAAAAATTAATCATCTAGAATTAGCTGAATGCTTGAGTAAAAGAATACTTTTAATTTTATAATTATTAATATAGATCAAACATCTGGACGTGTTAACATCCATCCACCATCTACATAAAATGTAGCACCTGTACAATAACTTGCATCATCTGAACATAAGTATAAAACCATATTAGCTATATCATCTGGTATTCCTGCTCGTTTTAATGGAATTTCTTTTTCTTTTTCTTTACGCGTTTTAGAATCATCCATTGATTCTTGATTCATAGGTGTTAAGATCATACCAGGAGATACATCATTAACACGAATACCATAATCAGCTAATTCTAATGCCATAGCTCGAGTCAAATTACGAAGACCACTTTTTGATACAGCATCTAAGAATTAGAATAAATGAATTATCATATTTATAAACTAATAATACATACATGCACCTTGACCAGCAGCAACTGATTCCTCGTGAACACTTGAAATATTAATTATATTACCACTTCGTTTTCCTCGATTTTCCGTACTTTGTTTGCCTTCTGATTCGATTTGTTTAATAAATTGTTTGGCAGCTAATTTTGAACACATGAATGGACCATGTAAATTAGTTCGAATAACTTTTTCCCATTCACTAAAATCACTTTCATGTACTGGTTTGCCTGTACCACCCATTCCTAGAAATAGAATTTGTTAAGTATTCGAACAATCTTTGATTGTCGATTGAATTTTGTAGTGCAACTCGAATTTAAAATGGAAACTATATCATAATGGGTTTTTTTCTTAAGTCATTGTATCAATCATTCTACATTTTGTATTCAATAGATCTTCAAATGCAATTGCTCGACTGTCCACTCGTTCATCTAGCTCAGAAATGGAACTTTATACATATATGCATAGAGGCTGTAGGAGCAGGGAACGTGGTGAATACGCATTAGTGTAAATTATATTAACCACTTCAGTGATCTATCAAAAAACTAAAACTTCATCTATGTGTAAATGTATACAGACCTTATTTATCAAGCAGATGGTGAATATAAACCAGTGGTCAAGTAAGATTTGTATAATTATAAGGGTCTTATTTCTGAGGCAGATAAAAAAGTAGAGTGTTATATGTAAACGTGCGTTCTCTGTTCTACTGTGTATTGATCATCAGGAGAATGGGACCGACGTATCTTGTAGTATCTAGTAAGTTTTGCGTGTTTCAATCATGATAGAGAAAGAGATGCATTATTCTCTTATATTTTTTGACAACAAAGTATCAACACTTCTTGATCTGATCAGTATACGTTTGATTTATATTCATCTTTATGCATAAGATTTTATTAAAACGTACGTATATGTAAGTATTCATTTATAGCTGAAATATTACAAAACAGAAAACGGATACTCTGTCGTATCATTTCTGATAATCTTAATTTTTAGTTTGAAACTTACAACTTTTTCATAAAAATATATTGCCAAGAAAAAAAAATGGTCTTATTTCTTAGTAATAAAAATCTTTTGTTTTACAACTATATATATTTTCATTTGGACAAATACTTTTATTCTAAATAAATTGAATTAAATTTCTTTCAAATTAATATCATAACTTACCAGCATTATTTACAAGAATGTCGAGTCGTTTGAATTCAGATAATGTTTTATCAAATAAATTTTTTACTTGTGATTCATCTCCAACATCTGTTTGAACTACTAATGCTTTTCGACCTGTTTCAATAACACGTTTAGCAGTTTCTTTAGCACCCTTTTCATCTGATCTATATGTAATAACAACATCTGCACCAGCTTTTGCAAAAGTAATGGCAACTCCTTGACCAATACCACTATCGGCACCGGTAACAATAGCAACACGATCTTTTAACTTTTGATTATCTGCCATAGATATTCGCTCAAGTTAAATGCAACTAGAAAATACATATAAATTCAGTAATACTAAATTGATTAAAAACAATTTGAATATATACAGAAAGATTACGAATCAGTAAAAATAAATTGTTCATACATTCTTAATGTATCAATAAAATTTATCAAGAAAGATCCTCTATCATATGCTATGGAACTTATTGAATCGATTCGTGACAGAAACAGACCTATGGAAGTTTGACAACATCTCTTTTTATACTGTCAATCAAAATTTTTCTTCGTAGAGTTCAAAATTGAATTTCAAATATTTTTGTAGAAAATTGTCGAATTTGTTTTCTTTTAATCATAGGCTATTGCTCGAAAATTAGGAGAAACACTTTCACTTTCCTTTCGAAGAGGAAAGTTACTAAGTGAGATGAATGAGAAATTTTAACAGTTATCATATATATATATATATATTATCTGTATAGCAAGTGAGATTTTTAGAGATATATAATTGACATTTTTAGATATTTTCTTATTATTTCTTTATTTATTTCTCTTTCTTGGTATTTCTCGTCCCGCAGACTATCCTTTACATTCTTTTATTCTGTTCACTTGATCTAGCATGCTCTCCTATATTTTTTAAACCTTCTAGTTTTTTTTATTCACAATTTTCAAATGAAACAACATTGAGTTTTAGTTTCAAATTCTGACCTTTTCCTGTTCATATTAATTTTTTTTACACGCATTGAAAAGCGATGTGCCAATGAGGACAAACTGCATAGTTTCTTTTTATGAATATCAATAGACAAGTATTTTTTCGTCTTTTCTCCAATCTTATCCTGGGACACAAGAACAGACACTTGTTATTCAAATGCAATTACTGTCCTGTTAAAAATAGAATGTATATTGGCAGAAGTTGAATAGCTCTTGAATGTAAACAGGTAACGATCTGCATTGTTGTCATTACTCAGAAGTGGACACCGAACAATACAAAACTATGCTGAACTCAAAACTTTGAGAATAAAAAATAGTTTCTGTTTTTTACTTGCATCTGATATTGAAATCTCTAACAGAGATAAACACAGCAAATATAGTTGTTTTTTATAAGATTTTTTTTTCCTATTTCGTGGCGCGCTTATCTTGCAGCATTGATGCAATCGCAACGACTTACTCTAATCTGCTGCAGTTTGTCATATAACAAAATTCTTTTTGTTGTGTATTCGCTTGGTGATTTAAAAATAATAGTTATCTATCTGGACCCTTTAGTTCTTACTATGTAAGTAAAAGTATTTTTCTCTGATATGAAAATCATATTTTGCCAAAAAAACTGCTTTTCTATTATCAATTACTCAATAGAAATTGTTTAAAGTATTTCTAAGCATAGATCGATAATATAGGAGACTATTGTGAGGATTAATATAATTTGAACAGGATTATGGGCCAAGCGCAAGTCATACAACAAGTGTTGTAAAACGTACATACGTAATTCGTCCGTTCTTTTGAATGATCACACTATTTCATTTACATGACTCACTATGCTATCCAACTATCTGCTTGCTGATACATGGAAACAACTTAATTGGATACGATGAACATCGAATAAACAAAAACTTGTTTCAAATTTTTCCTGTTTTGAAAAAAAAAGAATAGTTCTGCCTAATCTTTCCTTCCATTTTGTTCAAATCATTTAAAAGATTAAAGTTCATAATGATAGATGCCTCTAGTTTATGAATATCCTCTGCAAAAGCGAAAATTGATTTTAGTATCGCCAGTTCTACTATTATACTTTGTTTGGTTTATTAGTATCCTTCGCTCTGTCTTCATTTGTATTCATTGTAACTCACTTTCAAAATAGAAATAAACAAATCCATAAATTACACAATATCAATGAATACATAGTACAATTATAAAACCTTCTTATGAACTAAAATTCTTGCATGAGAAGTTACATCGATGTTTATGAGCGTCTCGAATTGTATTTTTCTGACAAAATCTTTACATGAAAGTGTTCTTGTTTTCCAGATCAAAACACTCGGATCGTATCCCAGTGCAATCTGTGCATTTCCGATACAGTATATTCGCGAAATAAACCTATCTTATTAAAAACAAATTATCAGAGAACTAAAATGAGTTTAATTTACTTTGCAAAATAATCGGTATATTGGGATCGACTGATGAAATGACATGACACAGCTGCTTTTAAAATCAGTCTACAGAATATGGGGTGTATGTTCATATTGGAGAACTGCTTCAGTCGTCTCCTTTGTATACATCAATCATATATAAAGATTCTTATACTAATTTATTCAAGCATCGAAGAAAGTAAAAGCTGTTTTATCAGCTCGAATTTGTAAGGAATCTTTTTCTATACTAAACTTCTATATTTGAAATCGAAAGAAATTATATCATATAAGTTGTTACATTGAAACTGACATCGAATGTTCGAACATTAAAACTTCTTTAAAAAATTACATTTGATTATGTCGATATAATATAAATAAAAAAATAACCAAATAAGTATATTTGAACTAATTTGATATCGTGCAACAGTTAACAATTTACTCTTTCACAATAAGGCTGATTCTGGAGGTTGGAATTAGTCAGAATCAATAGAATCAATGGAATCACTCGGAATCACATAGAATCTTATGGAATCAAACGTAAAAAAATGCCTGTTTATACTCGCCAACCAGATTTTTCCATGTTGCGGTCTCGGCCAATGAGGTTTTTTCTCACGATAGGTTTGGCCAATCAGATTTTTTCACACCGTGGTTTCGCCCAATCAGATTTTTTCATACCGCGGCTTTGGCCAATCAGGTTTTTTCTCACAGCGGTTTCGACCAATCAGATTTTTTCACACCATGGTTTCGGCTTATCAGATTTTTTCATGCTGAGGTTTTGGCCAATCAGATTTTTCCATACCGCAGTTTCTGTCAACTAGGTGTTTCCTATGCAAACACCTGATTGACTGAAACTGTCTTGAGAAAAAAATCTGACTGGTCGAAACTGCGCTGTGGAAACGCCTCATTGGTCGAAAGCGCTGTACGGAAAAAACCTGATTGGTCAAAACCGCCGCGAGAAAAAACCTGATTGACCAAAGCCGCAGCATGAAAAATCCGATTGGCCGAAGCCACGATGAGAAAAACCCAATGAGACGGCATAATAGTGGACAGAGGTCATGATATTCATACAGATTCTGGAATTAATAGAATCACATAGAATCAATGGAATTACAGAATCAGCTTTTCCCTCCTTGGAGGTCCCCTTAAGTAATTTACTGATCAATTATTAAATTGACTGATTTTATAATTATTCCATTTACTGGATGTTTGATTTATTTTACTGACCATAAATTATATTCCCTTATCTATTTATTATTTTTCCTGATAATTGTGAGATCGAATCGGAAAGCACTATTCATGAGATGTTTTATAATAAAATCTGGTCTCCTGTCTGAGAACTGCTTGTTAAATCGATCCATACAATCTTTAGGATGTCGTAATATCTACTTGAATGATAAAAAAAAGATTTTTCTGTGGTAATAAAACGTTCGTTAAAAATAGATTGTATATGATGATGATTCTTTGTGAACATGTTCAACTTGAAATAATGTCCATGATAATATGAGTGTGGGTGTAAATGTGAGTGGACTTGAAGGCATCAAAATAGCCACAGTTGCACACACCCTGAATTCTGTACTGAATAAATGTCGACATTTGTGCATCTGTAACTCACAGTTACTCTTTTTTTTTCAATTATTTTTAATGTTAGAAATAAAATATGATAGAAAATTATTCGAATAATGAAAACATACGAAATATAAATCAAACAATATGACAAATTTTATACGAATCAAATTGACATATGATGATGAATGGTGTCTTTCAAATTAAAGGAAATTCCTGTTGTATATCTTGTTCATTGTGTTCTTTTAACAATTTGACTAATTTAAACATGAAGATAATTTTCACAATCTGAAAAATAGATCATTCGAATAAAAAGACACACGACCAATAAAAAGAACGAAAAAATTTCCATACCGACACAACCAGAGTGATCAAACCATGCATTATAATAACTATATCAATACTCCTTACAACAGCTGGTTGACTGGTATTTTGATCATTGGCACTTATTGCTGGTTGACTGGTGATGTGAGCGACAATCATGAACACCATAGTCATAACCATCAGAACCCAGTAAGTTACTTCGATCAATGCAAACTAATACAAGAGAATCGAGATTGGAACTGAACGAGTAACAAATATTTACTTACAATAAGTATGCCAAGACGATCCAATTTAATTAGAAAATAAAGCGCAAGACATTCAATAATCAAGGATACAATAACTAGAATGATACAAAGCCTTTAATAAAAAAAACCTAATAATTAACTTTATCTTCAATATGGTTATGATTTCAGACTATGTCGATAGGCATAGAAAAATTTGCTTAACGAATAATTATGGTTATGAGATTGAATGATATACCTATATGAAAAATAAGTACAATCAAATGATCAACTCAACAATCACTATAGCTATACAAGAAATTACGAAATTCGATTCAAAACAAAAAAAAAAAAAGAATTTCTTGATGATCAAAGAAAGTTTTATATAGAATAACTTACTGTCGTCGAGAATCGCCGTTGCTTCTTTGAGTTTTTCATCGATTGTCTTCAATTTAATTGTGATTTCGATGTGAACAGCAATAAAGTAGAGTATATTCATTCCCTATATACTCGTATAAGTATTCATAATTGAAAAGAAATCTCATCAAACAATATCTACCATTGCAATTAATTGTAGAATAATTAAAAATTTTCGTTGTGATCGTATTCGAACATTGAAATGAATGATACGTTGTGAATTAATCATCGTTTACTTTTCAGATTGAAACTTTTGCTACTCAAAATGTAAGTTTTGTATTTGTTACAAAAGAATCACAAACAATTTTATCAATTGATTGTCTATTTTTATACTATACGACATATGTAGAGATGTAAGCTAATCTATTGTTATTTCTTTTTTTTTTTCGTTTGTCTTTTCTATTGATTGCATTTTGACAGAGAAAAGAATATCTCAAGTTACTCTACCGATTCGATTTTCAATATTAGAAATCAACTATGGATGTGATGCTTGTTGTGTGTATAGATAACAAAAATGAAGAAGAGATATGAACGAAAAAAGCAAAGGAAAGAACTATTGATTAAGAAGTGATGTACCGAATAGGTAACAAATGTTCAAATATATAGTATGGAGGTGGGTGAGAATATAACCCACACACTCGTGCCTAAAAAGACACATAGAACATTGGTAAAATACACAAATACTCAAATTAAAACTAACACTACCAATTGATAAGCACCTTAAATTGAATTAACACACATCCAGTACCTTTTCAAACATGAACATATTTGTTTACATCTTATTGTTCGAAATTTTGTTAATATTGTAGAAATGCATTTGTGCCCTGTACTTACCTGATGAGCTGCAAGAGAAGAGAAGTAATATTATGTTTCGCTATAATAAATGATTGTCTGAGTAAAAAAAACACAAAAACAAATATAATATTATATAGTAACAAATAAAATAAGCACTAGTAGCCACAATTCTATTGATCAAGATGCTTTATCAGAATAAAGATTTTTCCAAACAAATGAAGGCAATGAGAGAATATACTGTATACAATAAATCCACACCTAAAAAGTCTCTTCCATTACTATGCATTTACAAGGCACTAAATAGATTCTTCACTGGTTAGTAGACCTTTGATCGATGAAGTAAACAATAATGATTTTTCTATGCCAAGTCATATCTCTGAAATAATCTGGTATTATGATTTAAAGATCCTATAGGACAAGATAGATCGGAGACACGCTTGGAATTAATATTACTTAAAATTATTTTTTTTTGCGCGAAATGTAGTACTCTAAAACATACTTTTTCTCATTTATTTGATCATTTCTATTTTATTAGCGATAGATTTCATAATATAATAAAGATAATCTTAGCAAATGCAATAGTGAAATGGTAGCAAATAGTATCTTTATTCCTGGATTTGGAGAGTTAATTCATGTTCTTCAACATTCATATATGGGATACTATGTACTAGCTAGTGATATATATATACTGTTGTTATTGAGCACCAACAGAAAATCAATCAAGGCTTACTAATATCTTTCATTAATTTTTTTATGCTATAAAAAGTACAAGTCACAATTTCTGTTTAAGGAAATAATGAAAAATTTTTTGAAAAGACAAGACAAAATTGAATATATAGTGCATGATTTAGAATCACCCATCGAAGCCACAGACAACAAATCTTTTGGTACATTATTAAGCTGTTATGTATAGCAGAGAATATCGAGAGTAATTTAGAGATTTGTTGCTTGATCGAATCAAGTTATCAGAAGAAGCTAGCTTTATGATTAATCTATTTCATAAAGGACCTGAATACTAACAGAAATCTACTTCACTAAATTGATATGAAGACCGTGACAAGATACAAAATGAGATCATCATGAAGAATATAGAAGAAAAAAGTCAATTGTTACTGCTAAATTCTCACTTGAAGTTGACTTTTTTTACATTTTTCTTCAGGATAAAAATACTCTATGATACAACATCAACTGAGATTCCTGGGTGTGTCTAAGTAGCTCTAATGAAACTGAACATTCTTGAAACGACTGAAAATAAATGGAAGTTCTGCGTTATCAGGTTTATCCATAAATTAACATTTGTTCTCATCTATAGCGATGTATAATAAAGTACTTTGAATCCGTATGATCATTAGAAGTTAAGCGAAAAATTTTGATGAGATGTCATACAAGTAAGTACTAGTAATTCGAGTAAATAAAAAAATAGAAATCGTATTCTTCTTGTTATTTCACTTTCAATTTTTAATAGAATATTCACAAAATTGTATACATTCGATGGGTGATGCTATTTCATGTTTATATGTGCTTGCTCACTAAACTGACTTGATTTGATTGGTGAGAAGATAAGTAATACTCAATAATAAATGATTCAAATCAAGTCTAACATGGTAAACAGATATAGACGTACTTGGATATGATTCATATTTGAGAGAAACGCAAACATTAATCATGCCCCTACTAGAAGGAGGAAAAAAAATTATATTTTGCTGTTCTCTGCTCGACAAAAAATGGCCTTGCACAATATGTAATGCTATCATGTCATTTTACCATAGCGTTGTGTATGTAGTCTATAACAACAGAAGAGGTGAGTAAGTTCTTGTATTGCTTCTTCTTTTATTATAAGCTAACATCTTTAATGAAGATAGTAACAAGTGAAGTTAATGATGAGAGTTGTTGCTATTGTAAAAACATTCTTCATTGAATGTTTTACCAAATCTATACCAATAGTTTCATCATTTCATAAATACATAGAAAACAACATAAGATTTATCGTGAGTCCAAAAGAATTAGAACGGGTAAATACTTATTTTTGGATTTATTTAGTTATTCTTATAAGACATAAAAGAAAGTCATTAGTTCGATCTTTTATTTATGTTGAAATAAAACTTAACATCTGAAGCTAATTTTTTTTTTCAAAGATCGTCAAATAGTGTATTATATCGAAATGTGTAAGTTTAACAACACTCCCGTTTCCAGTACTTAAAAAAAACAATTTTTTCGACTTTGATTTTAAATCATCATATCACGCTAAGACAACAATCTACAATGAGTGTAAAGGTAGTTCTCTTTCATTTTTCTTCTATAACAGAAAAGCAATAGTTTTTTTGAGTCATTGAACAAATAAGTAACAGTACACGTGACAGATTATAGAAGCAAGCAATTATATTTTTCGTACACGTAGATACATATATATCTTCTTGTTATAATTTTCCCTACTTTAATGACAATAATCGACAAAAAATAATTATTATAAAAATAATATAAGATTATTAAGCTACCACAATCGGCTTCTGTTCACTATTCCATATCAAGAAAAACTTCGATGCTAGAGTATATAACATTTAGCGACAAAAAAATGTATAATATATCCTCGATAGAAATATGTGATGTTCACTCATAGTGTATTGGTCTTGTTAGTTGATGCTTTCAGTTCTTAATCGAGAGATTTTTTTTTCGAACGTTTGTTTATCGAAAGTTTAGTTGATAGAAACATTCTGTTTCTTAAGATAACATGTGTACACATTGTTTCAGTATTCAGTTCGAAGGTAATATAACATTTGAGGAAGTGAAAACAACTTTTTGATACCACACTGACACTGAAAATTCTCTAACGAAACGTCTACTATGATTTTCTGTCTGAATTCATACTATTGCATCAATTATCATTAGTAAAACGTAGCCTAAAAATATATCCATTTCTGATTGCTCATGTATGTAAGTTTGAGACTGTATTACACGAACAGATTGTGATTGTGCTGAACTTGCGAATCCTTTTTCTTTTTGTTTGTTTTTAATCTTAGTCTAGAAAAACTTGCAACACATGATTTTATTTGATTTATTCTTTAGAGGACGACGCTTTATATTACAATAGAAGCAGACTAATAGTATCCAATCAATCAGAGAAATATTATGTCCTTCCTCACCGACTTACAAATCCATTCTCAGTCAAAACTTCGACCAACTACCAGTCGCGTGACAAACTCGTTAGGTCAAACCTATTATGAATCCAAATCTGCAGATGGAACATTTCAAATTTATGATAGATCAACAGATTCTAACAGTATATTTATGATAATCGATAATTCACCTGATGAAAAACTTCATCATATCATTGATGGTGTTTACATTGGTTCACAAGATTCAGCGCTTAATATAGCAGGTCTCAATGAGTGCAAAATTACACATATACTTAATGTAGCTACTGGAATTAGAAATGCATTCCCTGACCAATACAAATATTTAAATATTGAATTATTAGATGTACCTGAGACAAATATTTACAAAGTGTTTACACGTACAAATGAATTCATACAACAAGCAGTTGCTGATAATGGACGTGTTTTAATTCATTGTAATGCTGGTATTTCACGTAGTGCTAGTATTGCTTTAGCTTATTTACTCGGAATACATCGTATAAAATATGAAGATGCATATAAATTATTGAAAACAGCACGTTCGAATATTAAACCAAATGATGGATTTGTAAAACAATTGAAACAGTATGCTGCAGAAATAGCACAGACAAATGAAAATAATTCACTGTCGATAGATGATATTAATCGAGCTGTAAATGACGAATCATGTGATATATAGAACTACTGATATATATTCAAGAATAAGATCAACCTTATTTTCATTGAACAACATCTGTTCTTTCGATTACTCACTGTCTCCATTTTAGAATGTTTTTTTTTAATGTGCTTCATCATTTATTGACTATTTATTCATCGTTATTGTTTAAAAAAAAACGATAATGTTAAGAAAAAGTGTCATTTGAATGAATGATCTTTATATTGTATTTAATAAATAAAAGTCTTCTGCTACAGAAACCACGTTGCACCATAGTCGGTCGAAGAGCCAATGCATGAGTAAGACTTGTCATTATCCAGTTTTTGATCCTTCTAAAGATTTCATCAGATAGCTTGATGCTTGGATTCCCCCTAATTAAAAGCAACCTTAAGGTACTGATGCTTTCTTCCAAAAGAATAATAGTCAGTACAAAGACTACACTACTTTTTTGCAACTATAAGTATGCGTCTAAGATATTGAAACCTTCACTCAATAACTGTTTCTTATTACAATAGCAATTTACTCTGAAGTAGCGGTGTGGTGAATGTGCGGTTCTATTATCCAACAACACACCTACTCGCACATCATGGAAATTGAATTTGATGAACGTTACTCTACAATTCATCCAAATATATATTCATCGAGTTTTATTACGTCAAAGCATTTGAATATTCATTTAATACTTTGATTTTGGTCTGTTTAATAATCATTGAAATAATCTTTTCTTTGTTTTTAAATATCGGATATGGAACCAAGTGAAATATTCAAGTTTTCAGGCAATGCACATTGTGATAAACCGTTAATATTGTTGTAATCATTAACTAATTGAATTTTTTCATTTAATGTAAGATGACATTGTGATGTCATTACTTTTCTTGATATGTACAGTTATAATAAACAATTAATAATAGTTTTAGTACAATGGCCAGAAATGATGAAACGAAGAGAAAGAAAAAAAGAGTGCACGTACATTCATGTAAAAGAAGTGCGAATAGCATTCGGAACCGTCAAACAACAATGTTCAAATTTAGAGTAAGAGGGTGTTCACCTATGGGAGATGCATTGTCAATGAAAATCATTTCGTAAGATCGAGACCTTGTTCAGTACGAGAAATGCTCACTAATAGAGGTTTCATTAGAGATAGAACTATATACCGGTTCATTAAGGGCACAGTAATATAAGTTAGATGTGTAAATTATTTATATGCGAAAAAGTATATAGTCATAGTTTTCGTAATGTGCGCTGTATCTGAGCTGATTCTCAATCATTGGAATCAATCATAGCGAAAAAACAGTATAGACACGATTTGTAATGAGTTTATTTTTCAATCCGGGAGAGAAAATTAGAGAAAAGCAAAACGAAAGAATTCCACGGTTGATAATATGTTGTGTGTCAACCAATCGAAATGATTCATTCTCATACATCTGTTAATTTTTCTTCCTTCAAATACATTATTCTTGCTGATGCTTTAGCAATTTCTATCAATAATCATCCTAGGCTAAACAAACTTTTGCATCGCCAACAGTTTCAAAAAACGTTTTCGTGAAATATAGTGATTACGCATTATTTTGTCTATTTGACAGCGAATCTCATACAATAATTTGTTGACAAGAAGACAGAGTCAAATGAAGAGATTATTAAAAAAATCCAATTAGTGCATTGTCAACTTGTGTCGGTCGGTCCCAGCGCTACAACAGCAACTTTTAATATAAACGTATCTTGAGAACTTGGGTTATGTTCCATCCAATTAGGAATTTTTATAGAAAAATATACGGTTTATATTAGAAATAATGGTAACTTGCTGGATTCTGTACAGAACCTAGGTGTATAATATATGCACTACATGTACTTTGAGTTGATTTATTATTGAAAAAGAAATAGTTAGTCATGATTAATTGATGTTTTTTGTGTACTCGACTAATTTTCTCGAATCAATATCTATATAAGTAAGCAAAATTCGATCTTATATTGTATAATAATGTCGAAAAATCAACCTGACTGATGTTCAATTGAATTTCACATGGATACTCAAGAATTTTAAAATCCAAAAATTTCGTAGTTTGAGTTATATTTGTAAGTAAAGAAAAAAAATAATGATAATATAAAAGATGTTTTTTGCCTTCTCAGTCAACAGTAATTACTAATTTGCTGGATTAATCATTTGTTGTTGAAAATTTTGATTCAATTTCGTTCTAATGCGAATGTTTCATTTGATTGAATGTGCCGAGACATACCTTGCAAATTTCTTCAATATGACGATAATCTGTTCCACAACATCCACCGAATACGTTCAAATTCTTAAGCTTGTATAATAGTGCTCGAGTACTCTCAGCAAATTCAATTGGATTTCCTGAATCGAGTTCTTTACTTCCATCGAGTTCAGCATGACTTTTCTTCGAAGCATTGCCTTTAACACTGTGAATTCTTTCTATCCAAGCTTCACCAGGGATCAAGACATGTTCAAAATTGCTCGGATGTGCACAGTTGATCATATAATAAACGGGTGAATTCTGAGTAACTTTATCGACAAGCTCAATAGCTTCTTTTAGGGTTTGTCCTCCCGATAATTTACCATCTACTTCAACAGTGAACGATATTACGGCGGGAATATTAACTGCCTTGGCAGCTTTTGCAATTCCAATAGCTTCTTCAGGATAGTTCAATGTCACACCTGTGATCATGTCTGCATTAGTTTGACTGATAATGCCGATTTGTGTTGCATGATATGCCTGCGCTTCTTCAATGGACATTATCGTCGTAGGATTATATCCATCACCACGTGGACCGATGGATGCATTAAAAACTATTGGACAGTTTTCAGTTTCATATTCATTACGAATATCGTAGAGTAATTCAATGGATTTGCGATTCACATTCACAACATCTTGGTCGGAATAACCGATTTTTTTCATCCAATCTGGATTAGCACGCCATGATGCATTTTCCAAAACAAGTCCGACATCATATTTTCGGGCAATATTAGCATACTTGCGTAAGTAATTTTTCATCCATTCGCATCCAGCTTCAGTCTTCAATACATCGAATGAGGCGAAGCACGGAAGTTCTATGCCTTCATGAAAAATAAGTGTAGTCTCCAAGCCACCATTAGTAATGAAGAACTTATCGGAGAGTTGTGGCAATGCGTTTCTATATTTAGCCATAATTATGACTAAACAAGAAAATTCACTAATTATGTTAAAAATTTACTTGTTAATATTAAGAAAGAATTTTTATCAATATGTACAATATCATATCAATGCATTGCCTGCAATTAACTGCTTTCAAATCGATTTGATAGTTTAATAGAATATGAACGTTAGATATCTGAACACTGAACTTTTAGTAGATAAAACATTTGCACGTTAAGTAACAATCAAATAATTCAAATTATTTTCGTCTATATAGTGTTTAACATTTAATTCGGTAGAAATACGGAAGAAAAATTTATTTCAGACAATAACAACATGTCTTTTTATAAAGCATTCAACATTCAAGATATCAAATAATCTTCTTGTGCATCGAAATATCTCAAAATGAAATGACTCTTATATCTGTTGAGTACGAAATTTGAATACAGTATTCAGTTTTGAGCTGTTAGTATGCGAATTCGCTACACGATGATTGAATATGGCAACAAAATCACGAATGATTTCATTGATCTTTAGATTGACTATCAGATAGCTAAAATTTAATTAAGAAAACTTTAATATTGGTATGCCTCTAGCCAGTCGTATAACTACAGCTACAGTTGGCTGAATTAAAGTCTAAACGAGAAAATTCTTTGTGGTCACGTCGCTGTTTGAACTCATTTCTAGAGTGTTCCGCGCGAATAAATGCGCCAAACCATGGAAGATAGTTCTGCACATATGATTCATCGTCAATGATCATCTTCCAAGATCTATTGGTTTGTAGCAAAGAAATTCAATTTTGTGAATTTCTTAAAAAAAATAAACTGCAAAATAGAAGTCTCTCTATACAACATAACATGCGTTATACTTAAAAAAAGCTGCTAATGGAAGGTCCTGAACTTTTTGAACGAGCGTCTGATATGAGGATAGAATTTCATCGGACACCTGAACTATCAAAAAAACAATAGGATGTTCATTTCTGCAAGCGTCTGCATATCTAAGATGCCAGAAATGAAAAATACAAGCAGAATTTTTTTTTCATTTTTTTTATATATGGTTAGATAGCGTCTACTTTTTCTCAAAAAAGAAATCAACTTTTTTTTTCGTTTCTGTTTGTTTTAGATTCATTGTGAGAAATCAAGCCTAGGGAAGTCATTTATAAATGACTGTTCCAGATTCAATTTTTCACAGTGAACGTAAGACAAACACTTTTGAAATTTGAACGAAACGAAAAAAAATTGATTTCTTTGTTTTTGAGATAAGGTAAGTCACTAAAAATAAGATCGAAATGTTTACCTTAAAAACTCATTCCAATAAAATGACAACACATCCTTGATCAGCTTGTCACGTCACGTTCTATCTAACCATATATAGAAAAAAAATTCTGCTTTAATTTTGCATTTTACCTTTACTTCGGTATCAAAATCACAACTACTATTTGCAACTGTTCTCTTTCAAAACAATATATGTTACGGTTGAGAAAATTTCACATGAAGCTATTACACGGCAAGAAAAAACATATGCTTTTTGTCTCTTACTTGCATGCAATTGATAGTATACAACAGAGAACGTCGAAAAAACGTTACACAATAGAAAAAAAATGCAGCGCACGCGTAAACAACAAAACGATAGACCAAAGTCTAAACGCAAATGAAAAAATCGAACGAAGATCGTATAAAATCTTACTGACAATCAGATACTGTATGACTCATACTATATGATATTACAAAAACGTATAAATATCTTACTGAGAGATTTAATATGTTTCTTCCTAATAAGATGTTAACGTGAATCTTCCATGATTCTTGCTGTAAATTCTTGAAAAATCTTAGGATCAGTATTTTATATGGTTTGATAAGATCATAATTTTAAGTGTCTCGTATGCAAATAGTTTTTATGAAGATAAGTTTTATTTATTCAAATAATTGTTTATACGAATAGCGATGTTCATTAGTTTAAAAAATTATATCACATCAAATTTATTGTTATGCTAAATTAAATATATTGAATAAGTTATTTTCGTAGTTGAAGTACATAAAACAAAAGAGAAAAGATAAACATATTGTATAGTGTTCTGATCACAAGCAATAAGAGATTGACTTTCATTTTATTTTATTGTTTTTCTCTAGTGTACGACAATAGACTGATGTATGTATTAATAAGATAGCAAAAAAAGAATTTTCAGGCAATGTTTTCACTTGATTTTATCTATTATGTTACGCACAAAAATAGGTTGCACACAAATATTGATAAGTACATCCTTTTTTTTATTTGTATTACTTGGTTTTTCTTATCAATTGTAGTAATTAAAATATAAGTCAAAGACTAAAATAGAATAAATTTTTTTTTGTATGATGCAAATCCTATTGTTTTTGAATAGGTCATGATAAATTAAACTTTTCAATTTTTTTTTGTTTGTAGTTGTCAAAAGTTCCACTGCGAGATACGTCGTATTGAAACATAAGTCCTTTTGTTTCATATTGTGATATGTGTTTTTTATTCATTTCAAGGTATTTTTGATTCCTCTTTAGACAACTGATTAATCTATTTCCTCGCTGGGAGTTTTTTTTTACATGAAAGATCTGAACAAATCAATTTGAAACCTTCAATCAGATGACTCTTTCTTACCTTGAATCATAAGTTAATCTGATATGAAAATAAGAAAGAATATTTCAAAGCCTATATACGCGCAAAGATACAAACAACTTCCCAGTATAGTTCTTATTATAGGACTAAAATATATAATCCTCATGTGTTCTTTCGTTTTATTATACAAAGTATGTGTAATGAAAATCTCTAAAAGATTAGAGTTGTTTTCCAAGGACGCTTGATCTCTAGAGAAAAGATCTGATTGATGAATAGAATAGTTTTTATTGATTTTTCTGTATTGTTTTTACCGTATTATTTTTCATCAAGCACATTCATATGTATTCATACTGATTATTTCTTTGAATATAAATTTTGATCTGCTCCAAGATTTTCAACTTAAGTTTTATATTCCTCTAGATCAATCTAAGCTTTTTATTCATACAGTTTGAATCCAATTATCCTTTATTGCTATGGAGAAATAATATGAGCTTCATAAAATTTATTTCTAATTCATACTATCTCATTTATTTTGAATACATTCAACCAATGTATAACGGACAAATACATTGTCAAGAAATTCCATCACATTTATAAATCATAAATTGGCTGCAATATTATCTTTTAGTTCTTGATTTTTTAATCTAAACAGTATGGCTGGTTCTTTTAACAAATTCATGTTAAATGTCTTAATAGATATCAAACAAAAGCCAATAGACGCATACAAACTCAAAATCATACTTGAAATTTTCCAAACTTTCGAAATTTCCTTTTTTTTTGAAAGTCTGAACACTGTTGCGTTGTTGATCATTGTTTACATTGTAGGAATGGTTGTTTTTGGTCTCGAACAACTTTTATAATTGAAGATGACGAGCTAGACTATGCAGAAAGAGTATGGATTCAAACTATGTGATTAAAACAAAACAAAAAAAAAATACATTGGACATTCAAAAAATGTAATTTTATGATCAACATATTATAGAGTATCACTGATTGATATAAACAAACATATAATTCTTATATACTGTATTCATCTAGTTTAC